CGAACACGGGGCCGTGTAACGGGAAGACGTGGTGGAGGACATGTAGGCAAGAGCTTCAGCACACACAAGGCTTTCATCTTTGACAAGATAGCCACATGTCTGCACATATAACGCGCGCACACACACACACACACACACACACACACACACACACACACACACACACACACTGAGACAGAGAGACGTGCACGAGTGTCTGTCCCCAGCTGGAGGTGTAACAGTACCTCATTAGAGATCTGATGCTACAAGACACACTGCAGGACTGTGAGAATGGAAAATAACACACACAAAGAGAAAACACACACACACACACACAGAAAGGACAAAACAAATAGAGAATAAAACAATAGAGATATAGATTTTAAGCAGTAAAGGAAGATATTTAAGAGACAGTTTGTGAGGCGGAAAATAAAGAGGAGGAAAAGGTAAAGAGGGAGACGAGTGCGTCAGAGCTGTTGTAAGTGTGTGTGTGTGTGTGTGTGTGTGTGCGTGTGCGTGTGCGCCTCTATCTTCTCTGTCTTGCACACCACTGCTGGGACAGAAGATCTACTGCATCCATTAATCTCATTTGAATAATTAATGCCATCTTCTCCAGAAGGAGAGTCTCGTCTGGACCTGTGAGACATTCAGTGCTTTCCGGTAATTGCCACATTAGTTTATTCTCTCGCCTTTTTTCAGGCCGTGTGTGCAGCCGGCAGAATGGCCGCCCTACATGATCTGTTTGGCTGCCTGGATCAGCAATTTGAACTTTGTGTTTTGCTCAGATATGTTGCAGCTCATGTGACGAAGAAGCAGGTGAACTTGTGCTGTTAATGCTGAACACCTGCTGTTAGGAACCTCACTGTGAGCGTGTGGCTGCACCCTCTGATCACACACATTCTTTATTTCAGATTTGTTATATTACTTCTTTATCTCATGAACCTTATGATCACCTCAATCAACAAACAGACATGTGCGTCACTCTCCGATGGTGGAGTTCACTGTGAACGTGACCTCTGAAGATTGCCGCACCACAGCAAACGTAATTAATTCATTTCATTTCAAATAAAGTGCTGTCAAGCGAAGCTCAGAGCCAACGCGTAATCTTTGTCCAATTTTCTAGCTTTAGTGTGCAACTCAAGAGTCTCGAGTCACTGAGAGGAGAAAACATAAGCAGCAACTTTATCTCTCTTTGAGGAAAAAGGTCTTTGAGTTTGAGCTCATCAACAACCCGATCAAACATCGATTGAGGTCATTTTTAATTGTAGATCCCACTTTGGCTAAATGTCTCAAACAGCATTACAGATGTGCTCATGAATCCTGTACAGAGTTTTGAAAGCCTGCCTCTTTACATTATCTCCATTATTCAAAGCTCCTCCCTCCATCCAGCAGGGACACCCTGGAGAGAAACCGCCCCGCTGGCTCATGGGAGAAGATCTTTTAAAATGCCAACTTGTGCTTTTTTTTTGGGAGGTAAAGTAAATGGCGGAGAGACAGAGCGGCTCCCTCAAGAGAAGAGAAAACCCTAAAAAGAGGAGGACGATGTTTAAGAAGGGGTTTAAGAATACACACACACACACACACACACACACACACACACACACACACACACAC